AGAGGTGGATTAGAGGAAAACCTGCATCTTAAAAGGCTCACTCCGAATATCAGGTGTACCGAGGCATCCTCCCACCTCCCGGTCTCACCTCAAAAGTTGGCATCTCATTAAAAACCCTGACAGAGCAGTGTCAGCAAAAAAAAAAAAAAAAAAAAAGAGGAAGATTTAGAGAGATAGTGATTGGGCTGTAGACACATAGGGAGGGAAGGTGGAGGGGGTGGGGGGGCGTGAGGGTGGAGGAGAGGAGAGATAAAGAAGCAGAGATAAAAAGACGGGGGAAGAGCTACTCTGGCACTAAATATAACCAGATTAGGAAGAAAAGCTAAAAAAAAAAAGAAAAAAGTTTTTTCTCCTATGCTACGGTAATGAACAAGGTCACCTTCACTCTCCCTCCTGCTGCTCTCTTGTGTTCGCCACCTCAAATGTTCCCACACCCCCACTCCATTCATCTCCGTGTCTTACCAGCCATCCACCCCTTGCTTTTGGAGCTCTGAGATGCCAAAGGACAGCGATCCCATGAAGTCGTTGCGGCTGGTCAAGTCCCAGTCCCACACCTCCACCGACAGGCGGCGGTCCTTGTCGTACTCCTTCAGGTGGCTGGAGGAGACACAGTGTTTTGTGAGTGGCGACATTCTCCGAGATACACACCTCTACTTTGTGACATTACATCATCTTAAAGTACAAAATGAAATTAAATCCACTGCTCGTCATTTATAGCAGCTAGCATGACAATAGTGCAAGCATTAATTGGCAAAGCTTTCAATTAGGAGGTATTTGAATCAGTAATTATTTCTGATAAAGAGTTATCAACTTAAATCCTAATTGGCAATTATGGAAGTTTCTGGTGAACCAAAATCCAATGTGCCTAAACAATACATTGCGTTTTTGTGGAGAACGCAAGAACAGACTTGTAACACGTAAAACAAGATCTCACAAAACAACAGGTGACATGAAAGGAGTCCACCGAAAGGAACTGAAAGGTTTACATACTGAAACTCCTTCCAGTATTAATTACTGCTCATTGGTAATTACCGGTATATTAAGCGGCTGCATCTGATCGACTAAATGTGAAACGACCTTAAGAAAACAGGAAATAAAGCAGAAATGGCTGAGAACCACTGCTCACAAGGGGCAAAAAGAAAAAAACCCAAAAAAACTTTTTTTTTTTTTTTTTTTTTTGTCTTTACAAACTAGTTTACTAAAGCGCAATGCTCTTTTATTTCTTATTTTGGTGGCTTGAAAGATGCACAAAGTTCCTCTAAGCCTGAACATCTGCACTGAAATGCCTGGAGTTATCAGTCTCAGTCTTCTCCTAAACTAATCATCGTGAGGATTATCAAGGATGCAGCAGCAGCAAAACAACCCCAAAAGCAAGGTTTTACAAGATACAGGAAGCCAGATGTTGTCATCCGAGCGCCGGCGGTCACTCGAGCATGCGAAGAGCGGCACAATGCAGCGGCCCGAAGGCAGTTCTTTGATTAAGACGAAGACATGATGTCAATGAGAAGCCGATAAACGCTCTTACAATTTGAAGGTCTCGTTCCATGTGGGGTTTAGGCAGCACTTTATAGTCTTGGTCTTCTGTTTGCTTTCGCTGCGTGGATCTGGGATCAACTTCAGCTTCACGTAGGGGTCTGACAGCCCGTTGGGGTCCATAGGAATCAGATTCCTGGCCTCTTTAACTGAAGAAAGCAAAGAAAATATATATATATAAAAAAAATAGCAGGTCAAATTTAGCAATAATTTAACTTTTTCAATTCTAGCTGACAGTTGTCCCTCTTGTGGTGGTCCAGGGTTACAGCATCTAAAGGTCCTGAAACTATTAGCTTAAAAAGAAAGAAGGTCAAGTTGCCTATGCTAGCTGTTCGGATTGAAGTAGAAAACTGGGTAATACTTTATGTGAAGGGGTGTGCACTGTCAAAAACATGACATAACACCTGTCATGAACATGAAGAAGTCTTTATGAATGTCTATGACAGTTGTCATGAAGTGTCATTCGGTAAATAATGACACTTTTAATGCAAAGTTGCTCTAAAAGTTGCATTATAAGTCCATTAAAAATGCCAACTTTGCATTAAATTATCATAATTTACAAAATCATCGATTACCAGAACACTGCAAATAAATATTAGTGCATTTAATTTTTTGGTTCATTGAAATCCCTCTCCCACCCCCCAAAAATAGCAGATTAAGGAAAGCGGTGTATGAAGAAACACAAACGGAAAAATTATTTATAATTTTTTTTTAAATGTGGTTCCTTCAAAAACCTACACAAGTTACTTAACAGGTCTTATGTGTTTAGCTTCAATGAAATGTCTTTAGTCATTCACTAAATTTTAAATTAATTAAAAGAAACTTCTACTAATAAACAAGTGCAGCTAAAACGTGCAGATTTTATTTCACCAAATTTAAATGCTTTTCATATTTACCGGTTAAAAAACTGTTTATTTTTTTACACTGTGATCTGGTGAGGAGTTGGCTGCTTTTATCTGACCTGGCCATCGTCTTCCTACGCAATTCCGCTTGATTCTCATCTCTCTTCCCTCCTTTCTCTGGGATTTCTCCCATCGAGCTGAATTTCTCTGGTAGAATTTCAAATGGGCCAATCAGAGATCAGAAGGAGTCGTGAACAATTATGTTGATCGTCTATTTACTACTTTTTTCCACCAGGCTAGCTTTAATGACGTTTTTAGCATGATGAGAGAAATGACAATCTACCAACTACTGTAGATAGTTGCCATGCTTTTCCCCTCCCCCATATTTCAGTGAAAGAAAATGCTGTACTTGTCCCATAAAAATCTAAAGGTCTCCTAAGGTGGCGTGTAAGTTTCCTTTGAACCAAGATAGAAAGGAGAGCTTCCCAGGAGATCAGGAAAAATGCTGCCGCTAAAGCATTACTCTCCGCTAACCTCCAATAGGTTAACCGCAGCGAAGACCCCAGCATTAAACTCTCAGCAGAGCGGGCCAATAAATATTAGATGATGCCAGTTAAAGTGACCATCAAATAGCAGTGGAGGAGAGCTGTGAAGAGGGAAGAATACCAAATAGTCCCATAGGACACAGAGTAAACAGCAAAGATGTTGCTGTGAGTAAAAGAATGTATCTGCTGGAGCGTACATATCAATGGAAGAGCAGGTTACTCTACAGTGCCACCTTTGGTGCTTTATTTTACTAAATTACTAAACAGAAGTTCAATCTCACCCAATCTAATCGGGTTACTTCTTAAATCATACGGTTTGTTTCTGTTCACGCGACATACAATCCGTTTGGAGAGGAACATATGCACACATTTCAACAGCTACTGAGATCTAAACTAGAAGGAAAAAAATCTTCACTTGTATTGAAATGCAACTAATCCGGCAGCTTCTTGTTCCGACAATAGCAGGCACATCAGTTTTTAAATAAAATGTGATATAGCATGATCTTTACACTTGGTACTTGGTTTGTTCATTTCAGCTGGAAGAGATGCTTGTTATTGCAGCCAGAGGACCGGCAACAAGTGATTCCCACAGCAACAGCACCACCAATAACATTGGAATAAATTACTTTAGGTGTTCCCAGTCAGGCGACGGATTAGCTACCACTCCTGCAACCAGACTCCTTCAGGCATGTTCCAGAAACCAAAGAAGTTGCCAGCACAATACTAAACCACGCAAGTTCTGTGCATGCGTAGAAGAGTTAAAGGTCAAACACGTTGTGATTTATGGTGTGCTCTTTGTCCGGTGTGAAGGGTTTGAAAAGTCCTGTGCGCTTTTAAACCAGTCTTTCAACAGTTGCGCTTGCTATTGATCACAATAACTCCTTTCCCATTGAAGGTTTGTTTACTAAACCATTCTCTTACAGGTGCGACACAAAGCATCTGAAAGATTTTGGTTCGATATCCTACGCTGCATTTTTTGCCATGCTGGAGTCTCTTTAAAAGAGAGGCCTCTCTGCTCCCATGAGCTTTGCATCACCGTGAACTTTGATCTACCTACGACAAGAGAAAAGGCTGTGAAGAATCTGATGCTTTACAACAGCAGCAACGGCTTCGTGAAATCCAAAATCAGAGTCAACACAAACACGTCTCTCGGAGGAGCAGCCATATTTTGTTTACCAGATCCTGCTTTGTTAAACTTAAGGGAAGATGCTTGCACTTCCTGCTTCTTATTCACCACAGCTGAAATAAGGATGCTGCACACGGCTCCACACTGATACCTGTCAGCTAAAAAATGGAACCGCTCCGGCCTCCGTCTTCTACCGTTAAAGAGTTATCACGAAAAACCAAAAGGACGTCGCAAGATAACTAGATGTTGAACAAAACCTTTAACAATGTCCGGATCATTTTTACCTGGACATTTACATACTGGAATTAGTTTGCCGTTCTGGTCTGCTAAGTGGATTTACTGCTGTCCTGGCAGTGTGTGTGTGTGTGTGTGTGTGTGTGATAAGTGCACTCTCTTATTTCCCACATTAACGAGCAGTTAATGACCCCGTGTTGGAGCGTGGGAACCAGAACCAAAGATGAGACTGAAACACACCGAGCAGCAGGGAAGGAGAATCCAGCATCTTGGTTCAAGCACCAAAATAATATTCATTTTTGATAACAATGAATAAGATTAATATTTACTGCCTAACCCTTACCCTGGAGACATGATGTTTAAGTCAAACTAATTTAAACGTTTAATTTAACTTATTTCTATTCCTCCTTTTCAGGTTTTCAACTCTTAAGTCAGCCATTTAGAGGTAATATTACTGTAAAGAAAATTCATAATTATATTGTGGTAATAGTAGTTATAAGGTACCGGTGAGAGAAAAACATGAGCATGCGGGTCTGTAAGCTTCTAAAATGGCAACTTAAACACTCAACATTTACAAAGTTAAAAATCTGGAGATTTTAAAGTAACACAACACATAGAAACAAGACGAATCAAAGAGTTAAACGTCAAAACATTCTGGGTTTCCCAGGTTGCAATTTACACACAATTTCAGTTCTGTCTGCCTTTGATGATTTGTGGTTGTCGGTTTTTAAGTACAATCAGTAATTTTCTCTTCTTAAACGCTAATAGGTCCACATCTTTTCAGAAAATAATGAACTGACACAGATTTGGTTTATGTCCGCATGTAGCCGTGGTGACGACACAGAAGGGTCCCAGTTAAGATTTTTATCAGTAAAAAGTTTATTATAATTTCTCACTGTTCAAATTATGCTGACTTCGAAGAACCTTTGTTATAGTCCTCTGCTGCCTCCTTCAGGTGAAAATAGCCACTACATGTAAAAATAAATTCTATGAAACCAACTCTACTTTTTATTTTGGGCTCCTTTTGCATATAAAAGACTAAAAGCAAAACAATTTTTTGTTCAAAGCTAAATTAAGTCAAGTACATGAAGGTAGTTTTGTTCTTTGACAACAGAGGGACACATTTCTGCAGGTTTATATTTTTCATAAGAAAATTGAGAGCGGAAAGAGTAATAAATACATAAATAAATTCATAAGTCATAATTTAAATTTTTGCCTGATTACCTGGTAAAAGTCAACTACAAAACTTATTTGATAGATATTACTTTGGTAAAAAGTAAAATATCCCTACTTGGTTGGAAAGCCCTTAGTTGATTTTGGCAAATTTCAGCCGGATTATTATCCACAACAGTAAACTGATTGTCCAGTTAATTATTCATTTGGTAATTTTTAAATGGTTCTTTGAAAGTTCCAGAACGTCCAACTGGTGTATTGTGAATATTTTTGCAGATTTAGTTTGGCAGAGTCTGAACAAGCAAAACGGGTCCAGAATTACTAAAAGTACATTTATACCATGTTCAGCATCACAAATATTTCCAAGTGTGCAAAAAGAAACATTATATCTTAACTAAATAAAAGCTTAACCTTATTTTAAATTAGTATTATGTTAAAATTACAAATGAATTTTAACAGGGATGCACATTATATCGGCACTAACACTGATATTGACTGATAGTCATTTTTTAATCATATTGCTTCGATGAATAAAACTGGACTAATATTTACAAGCGATATTTCTTCTCATCTTGGTTTCTGGAGGGGAAGTGGAGCAGGTTGGTCATGTATTTGTTTTGTTTTGTGAATTATTTTAATTTTCCCAAAACATTTTCTGAATGTCTCATATCCAATATTAAATCTAGAATCTTATTCAAGGAAATTAAAGCTGAGAGACTTTTAAATGGAGGGTGCAAGTTCAAGTCACGGTCTACTTCAAAAAACTATTTCGAAAAATATTCGAAAGAACGAGGGTTTGGGATCGTAGTTTTGCCGCAATGCCCGGTTGTGTTCAACCTTGTTCGACAGTCAGTGTATGCTACGTCAGTTTTGGATCAGGTGCCTTATGTGAGTAACAGGACAATGAACCCCAAACACGACCAAATACACTTTGAAAGCCCTCAAGCCTCACAAATAGCCCCGGCCTCAACCCCATAAAAAAAAAAAAAAAACAGATCGAAGTCTACGGTTTCTGGAAAAAAAGAGTAACTGAAAATTCAGCCACAATTAAGACATAAGAAATTTATACCTACAAAAAAAGCATCTGGTTTCTCTGTAGCTTTGAAATAAATCACTGTGAGTTTCATGGCAAAATACCATGAACCAAAAAAGAAAAAGACCAATCCTTAAATCATGAACCAAGTATTCCCATCTTCATCTCTGCCATCCTTACAGCAGAGGGAGACAAACACCTGCATTCCCAACGCTTCCCAGTCGATGTGTTTGTGCTCTGCATCTGCATCTGCATCTGCATGTTTTCCTGAAATGCACTCACTGGTGACGGTGAGAACGTTAGTCTTGACCTCGGCGCTGATCTCGATGCGGCCTCTCCTCTCGGTGTGGTCCGTCCCGCACAGGTTGGGCACGTTGGGCACGCAGCGCTTGTGGATGTTCATCATGCAGTCTGAAAAGCACATCCAAGAATAAACAGTTTGTGTTTGGGGTATGTTTGAAGGATATTAATCCGCCATGCAAATAAAAGGAATTGGCAAGTATTTTCATGTAGATATGAGCAAAAATGATCAGGTTTGAGAGGGTTGTGTGCAGTTTGGAGCGCATACGGTCGCATCTCATCCCCTGGTGGATGAGGCCGTAGAGCAGGGAGCCGCAGTGGTCGCAGAAGGTGGGGCTGGAGTAGGTGTGGATCTTGAATTTATGCTTTGCCCTCGGGTCCTGCAGAGAAACATTAAGAGAAACATTCAAAACTTGACAGGCATTAAAAAACTATCCTTTTCATCAGAGCAAACATTTCACGACACACAATTAAATAAGCGGGAACTCTGCAGAATCAAAGAGCAAATAAATGATCTTCCATCTCTTTCACCACAAGCCATTCATCTCAGACTTTCCACTGCTGTGAACATTTACAGGAAGTTTACATGGAGGGTAGGCGAATGCAGAGGGGGGTTGACTGTAATCTGATAACGACAGCTTTCCTCTGAATTGCTTTGTTTCTTATCAGCTTTGCGAGGCAACAGAAGCAGCCCGAGTGTGTACGCGCGTGCGCGCAGTTCTGTTGACACAACTGTCTTTAATAGGAAGTCAGCCTTCCGTGAAGTTTGATAAAAGCGCACACACCGGTCCGCTGAACAGTTATGAACATGCATGCAGCCACTGGAATGACACAACAGGTGACTTGGCACTTTAAAAAAAAAAAAAAAAAAAAACCCCGAACAGAGATTTAGACCTGTAAAATTTTAATGTCTCAAAGAGAGACGAAGTTAGGTTTTAGAGGGAAAATGCATTCAAGGCAAATGTCTGTTTGGTTTAATTTTGCATCCTAGATCAAAGATTAGTTCTTCCCAACTAATTTTAAGCAGCGGCGTCGTTTGCCATGAGCTAACAGGCCAAAAGCTGAACCGTTTCAGCTGCTGGCTGCTGCAGATGTTGGTGGTCACGTATTGTGCTGTAAGAAAAGCAATACTGAAGGCAGATTTTGATAGCATTCATAAAATTGTTGCCTGTCCTCTTCTGAAACTTAGCTAAGATTTTAGCTTTTGATCTGTTCAAGCTGAGACACTTGGAAACATTTTTTTTTGTTTCTGTTTTAGCTGCATGTCTCCACCATATCAGCATATTTGGAGACTTTTTGTAACTCAAGCTCAGTTAGATTGAGTGAAGAGCACCGATTTTCAAGTTTTCACAGATCTCAATCGAATTTAGGTATGAACTTTGACTGGGCCATTCTGACATGGATTCCCTGTCCTGTATGATGATGAAATTCTTGACCTCTCTGCTGACTAATGTGGTGGTGTGGCTTTTTTCCCCCAGTAATGTTCTCAGACAAACCGCTACGGCTTCACAGATTCATACCGGGGTCAATATTTGGACACCACAGTAAGTAACCGTGTCACTCCGACACCTTTACTTAGATGTGTCAGAGTAAAGGGGTGTGAATGCTCTTTAAATCACTCAAGTTAAATAAGCGAGTTAAATATAAAATTCTGCTAGCATTGAAGTTTGTGATAAAATGAGTTCAAGGGATATGAATGCTTTTATTGTACTCAAACAACATCTAAGAATTGCAAAACGAAAAGTTTTAAATTTCTGACTAAAGTAATTTGGTTTATTCATCTCATGTAAATAAATCATTGTAAACTGTCGAACTGTGAGTGCTTGATGGATCGTTTTCATGTCTGTAGTCATCACAGTGAGAGTTTTTGACAATTTCTGCAGTGAAGAGAGAATATCGCCTGCACACATGTACAACACTCTTTGCCTTCCTATTGTCTGTGACTAACTCATTTCTGCACATTAACATTCATAAGTTGCTTTTAACCGTACATTAGAGGATTCACGTGGGAGTGTGGAGGGCGGGCCGTATCTTCAGGTGGACTGTGATTCCTTAGGGGAACGCTGCCTTCAGGTTTCTGCATCATTTCACTCTGAATCATATGACCCGTTTTCTTAATAAAACCCCTAATATGCTCCCCCTCAATTCTCAAACAACAAAAAAAGTGATTATAGTTATTTTGACATTTTGTCAAGACCGATATTGGTTACGATCTTTGAGGTGAAAATTGCACAACAAATCCTCTTTATGAAAATATATTTAAATGTGGAACCAGGAAGGGGGGTTAGGGGTCTATTTTTGTCTGCTGTCTATCAAGTGCCCATGTGAGTTCATGCATGTGTGAAACCTGCAACCGCAGCAGTGGAGAGAATACACACCTGCATCTCAGCTCTATGGTAGCACAGATGTCCAGAGGGAGGCTACGTATTCTCGGTTCTTGTTAAAGTTCTGAACTTTCAAATCAAAAAGCCAGAACAAATTATATGCCTAAATTGTTACTTTAGTCTCCGTTCGTCCTGGGACTTAATGTAGCATTTTGACCGTTACCGCCATTGTACCCAACATCTTCAAACTATAAGAACGTCTTAGTATGTCATTAAGTTTTAATAATTTTCATATCTTAATTTTTCTTTTCAGAGGAAGAAATGAGCAGAAACCAATTCGGAAACCTCGAAATTAAACAAAATGAGACAAACAGAAACCAACAAAAACAACATCTAGTTTGTGTCTCGATTTTGTTCGGTCTTTGGTTTGTGGAATGTCAGTAAGATAGCTATGCTCTTTTTTTTTTGGTTTGTTTTATGAGTAAAACAATTATTAGAGTAACAATAAAGTAAGAAAAAATAAAACTAAATGTTTTGCATTTGTTAATAAAGCCAGAAACTCTCCATCTACAGGACTGCAGACTAAAACTATAAACTGCTTTAATCTTATTCTAGGAAAACACATCAGTGAAAATAATCACTTGATGCCTCAAAGCTGAAACATACACAAATAACCTAATGAATGTTTTATTGTATTTTTAGTAACACCTAACATAATTTACATCACATGATTGTTTTGCGTCTCCATCAGAAACAGGTTGGCAGAGTTCTTTAGTGCTATGCATTGGTCTCAACTAGCCTCCCTTTTGTTGAAGGGCAATCTTGTTTACAGAGATTGAAAGATAATTCATTTTATTCGTTGTTTGCATTGAGTTATAAATTTTGGATATTTAAAATTTCTTCCATTTCCAGTGTTATATCAATCAAATCAATCAATCAAATTTTATTTGAATAGCACATTTCAGCAGCAAGGCATTTAAAGGTGCTTTACATAATTAAAAAAATAAAATAAAAACAGCATGTGACATTGAATAAACAGTAAGAAAGAGAAAGAGATTTTGGAAAAAGAAAAAAAAAAGTAAAAAAACATACTTTTGTTTTGTATATGTCCATTAGAAATAATTGAGAGGTTGTACTTGCATCATAAAGCCATTACCATTGCAGAACTTGAAGATATTCTGTAAAAACAATATCATCATTTATCGCAATAACTTCTGGGGCAATTTATTGTCCAACAAAATTTGCTATCATGACAGACCTACCCGTATTTTCCAGACTATAGAGCACACCTCACTATAAGCCGCACCTACAATGTTTTTGAAAAAACAAAAACAAAAAAAAAACAAAAACAAACAAATATAAGCCATATATAAGCCACTGGTATCTCCGCTGCTCTCGGTTTTCCACAAGGACACAGCAGAGGGCAGCAGAGGGCTGGGTCCTTAATAAATCTGCTATCAAGGACCCAGCGTCTCCAACACCTAACCATAGTTTCATTCACGCCGAGTTTACGTGCAGCGGCTCCATTTCCCTCCTGTACTGCCAGATCGACAGCCCTCAACTTAAAACTGCATCTTTTTCTTCGTGTTGTTTCCATGATGAGGTATGAGTTTGAAGAAATTTCTCCTGCTGCTAGCATGTGTTTGTTCTAAATGAAAATCAGCACTTTCTTCTTTTATGACCAATTCTGACTTCCAGAGATTCACTTCCTGCTAAAGCGCCCCCTGGTGGTTGAAGAAAAATCCACAGAAAAGCCACACCGGGCTATAAACCGCATGGTTCAAAGTGTGAGGAAAAAAGTAGCGGCTTATAGTCGGAAAAATACAGTAATTGGAGATTGCCTCATAGTACTTCTGAGACTGATGGGTAGCAGCACTTGCATCTCTAAGATTAATGCTTTTCCAGTGTGTAAACAAACATCTCTACGCTCCAGTGCAGCAAACAGCTAAAACTCCTAGATTTACAAAAGTTGCTGTTTTGACAGTTATGAAAACTTTCATACAACCATAAATGTAAGTTAAACATTATAATGTCCACTTTTTTTTTTACTTATTTCCACGTCAATGTCTATCCTTTCCCCCTCTCTCCATTCCTTTGTTTCATCACAGCACTCTCCTGTCCAATTATATTTCCTGCCAACGGCATTAGTCATCTCCCGCCAACACACAAATCAAACACATGCTGTCATGTTATTGGAAATGCTCTGTGATAGACAGGCTTCAGAGTCACTTAGTTGGTGAAACAAAAATTTACTTTCTTCCTTGAAATGATCCACACAGGAATCTTTTAAAACACGCCCATGCCCATGTTTAGTCATATTTAAAATAAACGTCAACTGTGCAGCACATTAATGATAATAATAATAATAATAATACATTTTATTTAAACATGTCTTTCAAAAAGGATATATATTGTACAAACAAGTTCAAAACAACACATGAACAGGTGATTTTAGCTTGTAAATTAGCTGCATTACAGGCCATGCTATTTATTTTACCTGCAGACTTTTATAGCATTTTGCATTGTGTTTGTTTCAAAACAGGGTAAATGTTTAAGAAATACTTTCTTTATCATCCTCCCCATCACTGGTAAAAGTTTAAGCAAATTCCTCTATCCAGCCACAGAATACAACTAATTGACAGCTTGAAGCAACAGGTGGCTTAATAGGGCAAATATTCCTTTACATCTAAAATGCAAAAACTGTTATATCCTGTATGGGTTTTTTCCTGCAGTTTTGAAACCATAATATTTTTACACCTGTACCGCTGAACCTTGAAACCATAAATCAGTTCATGTCCGACATGACGACTGTAAAACATGCACAGTCCTTCAACCTTCAAGTTCTATACCATTAGCAAGCTGTGGACCTGAAATGTAGGTTTCATTAGAGGACATCATCCCTCGACTTCTCCCACAGGGAACCCATCCTATTAACCCAGATCTATAATTGAATTCTTCTTTTATACATACATAGCTGACAGAAGGGAAGAAAAGTGAGAGGCAGTATGGGAATTGAGGAACTGCGGACAGAGAGATGATCTTGCACACACTAGGATTAAATGTTTTCAGATTTGACTGTATCACTCTAAATAACATTATACATCTGTTTCTAAGTTGATGTACATCTTGGTTAATTTCCTCTTATGCACAGATATAAGCCCTCCGCTCTATTTCCATCTCTAATAATAAAGTAAGCAACTGGTTTTGGAGCAGAGCTAGCCTACATTCCCAGGGACTGAGGTCATAAGGTCATGAACTTATTAAAGAAACAATATGATGATGGTGACACGGCCCCATAATTAAGAGCAGAAGATCCCTGGGTGGATGAGCTTTTAAAATAGACAACGTGTGCGGGAGATATTTTCATACAAGGGGAGAGCTAACAGTATACGCCTACCAAATATAGAAATGTTCAATTGTCAGAAATGAAGCCGGTGGAAAATAGAAAGAAGATGATAGAGGTGGATGGTGAGATTTGAGGTGACAAATGGAAAAAAAAAACCCAAAAGCTTAATGCTGGCTTAAAAATGAGAGGAGATATTTGGACTAGGTCTTTAATCAGTAAAAAAACAAAAAGCAAAAAGCAGATGAATAATAAAATACTCGTACGTTTCACCCTCTACGAGATTTGTTTATTTTTTTATTTGAATAATATAGCCTACATGGCAAATTAAAGGTAATTTATTTATATCACCAAAACTTGGCATTTTACCTGCGGTGTGTGAGCTTTTTACTTCCTTATATTTTCTGCAACATGCGGTTTTCTTTACTAGCTTTAACTTGATATTCACCAGCTTTAACATATTTTACAAACCTGGACGTCTGAAAGTCTGAGCCGGATGGGTCAGACCCAAACGCATAACGTGACGTCAGACTAGTGTGATGACATAGTGTGGTGCACTATTTTGTCTCGTGCTTGTCAAAAGCAGTGACTTTTTTCTGGACTGTGTTGTGTAATACCGGACAGTGCCATCGTCCAAATGGACCTACCCAGGAATGTTGTGGTACCAGACGGTTTTATGATTTTGTGATGTAAACAGAAAAAATGGCATCATGTTCTTTTCTTTACTGTGACTGCTAGAAAAGTACATGAAAAAAGCCTTGCAGAAAGACTATGGTGAATAAGCCAATATAAAATGGACTTTTGCAGAAAAAGTTTAAAATTTTCAGTTTCTAAAAAAAAAAAAAACAGATGCTAGCAAAGAGATGAAGAAGAAGAAATGTTAGAGAAAGAGCTCGGCCCTGTGTGAGTTTCTTAAACTAAAATGATAAAAGAGACGCTGTTTGAACCACATTACCAAGAAAGAAATGCTACAGCAGTGAGGTGAAACGTGGGGAACAAATAACTGAGGTGGTTTTTAGACGCATATACAGCCTTATCAGTCAGAAAACCAACAGGCAAACACAAGTGCTTCCTCTGGAGGCGTCTACGCTCGTCAGGCTGAAAGTTGAAAATCTGGGGGGTGTGTATAGCTTTAATAATCTGACTGTACTCACGTCTGAGGCCGGTCCTTTGTCCGCGCCTGGACAGGAGAAAGTGACAAACTCATGGCAGCGTTTATGAACCACGAAACAGCACACTGTGAAAAGAGTGTGTGAGAGAGAAAATGCATCAAAATTCAATGTGAAAATTTCACATTTATTACATTTCTCTCACAACAGTTGTCAGTAAAATACAACATGATAAATTCTCCCAAAACGAGCCTCAACACTGCAAACCAAAACGTATCAAGAGAGGAAGAAAAAAATGGATTCTGCACCATTTAGATTAAACTGACCTGGAGCAGCACATGAGTATTATTAGCTAATCACAGTCTCTCACTGAGGATGGAGACGTCTATTTCCACTTTTCTTCCAGCTTAAATTACTAATACCTTAAAAAAAGGCAGAGAGGAAAGGCAAGTATATCTGTACACCATCATTTATATACAAGGCAGCTTACAGTGTTTAACCACAAAAGGAAATGCAGTGAAAAACCTCATTAAAGGCAGGAGACAAAATCGAAAAGTCATTTAAATGAATGACTCTTAAGCACAAAGTGACAAAGTTGCTTATTAAAAACACTTGTTGAGTTCAAAACTCCCAAAACGCCTGCAGAAAAGGCGTTCGCATTTTGCTGGAATTCTGCTGATTAAAGTCAAACACGTCAAGCTAAAACTTGTGCAACTTTCAGAAGCTAGAAGAACTACAACAGATGGTGCCTGTGATTAGTCTCTGTATCGCAGATTCAGACTAAGATAACTCCTCCTTTCAGTGGGGAGAAGGATTTGAATTACAGAGTGACTTCTGTAAAAAAAAAAAAAAAAAAAAAATGGCAGAGGAGACCTGCTGATGTTCATCCCCTCTAAAATGGCCTCTCATTCCGCTTTATCTCATTTCTAAGAGCACATATAATCCAATACAGTTATAAAGTGTAAAATGGCGCTCAAATTTCAATTCTTCTTTGCAATTACTCAAATAGTGATCCAGAAATAAATTGTAGCTCGTCAGCTACAACAAAATAGTCACGCATGACCAAATGGATAGAGGCGTCCGCCTTCCTCTTTTGAAAATAAAAAATGCAAACAAAGAGGAATAACTGCAGCTAAAATAAGCTTCGTTTGCGGGCATCCAGTCCGTAATGTAGTCAGACTTGCATAAAACCACGTTGCGAGTAGAAGACGTTTCGCTTAGCATCACCTCACTCGTGCTGTGTTATATTGTTGCAGCTCTTTGCCGACGAACTTTGAAGGGTCCAATTACAGATTTTCTGCCTTTTAATGACTTCCTTCCAGGAGAAACGAGACTGAAAAGCTCTTGATGCGAGAGCACTTTTGACTTGACACAAATGTTTTTATTGAAATTAAGGCAAATTACAGATGCTCTTAGGGAGACTTCTTGACTGCAGTGACTTTGCTCTTGGAAGCAGCACTTATATGAGAGTATTTAAAAGCTTAAGTAGTGGAACAAAAGGATCCTGTGGGTCTGTCTTAACACCTACACTGTCTTTGTGTAACTCCTGCGGCATTGTCATTTAGTCAGACGGCCTATTGGACGCACAATGGGCACCGTCTCCTTATCACAACAAGCTTCCTTTCCGTTTCTGGGTTTTCAACAGCTAAGCAAGCGTTACACTTTCTCCTCCCTGGGCTCCTCCAATTTGCAGAAAAACAACAAGGAGTCTACATCAAAGAAATCTTATGCAATCTGCAGCCAAATGTGATGAGAAGCGTGACACGGTTCCAGTTTCCAGGTTGGTAACAATCAGCGAGGCACAAAACGTGGAAGCGCTGATGCACAACGAGCCTGTCATCTCCACCCCGATCAGTGTCAGCTCCACTTGACAGCCAAGACCAACACAGAAGGGTAATAACATCACAGACACTTAGAGAAATGGTTCGTACGAAAATGCCCTGGAGTCCACACGCGGAATGACAGATGGGCCCAAAGAGACGCGCTGGATGTGCAAGCAGGAGGTTTCACGAAAGCTCAAGTCAATCCAGGTTACACCACACAAATCTGTTCACATGAATTCATTGTAGCATTTTAGATTTTCTTTTAGAGATTGTGCATTTCCAGCTGATTGTTTTGTACACTTGACACTGGGCAGGCAGCAGCAACACATACAATCTACTCTGAGCATAACATTGAAACATTTGGGAATCTTTGACAAGATTTATGGCATGAATGTTTGTTTTTGTTAATTTTGGTCAGATATTTTTGAACAAAAATAGATTTGTGATTTCAGTCATTTTGAAGGTCAGAGTATAAAATTATCATAGAGTAATTTTATAGCACAATCAAGTCACTTTGTTACCTTCAGCTGGTATGGAAATCCTGTTAATACCAAAATAACTTAAAAGAAACTTGACTTTGCATTATAGCCATGAAATGGGCCTCTGTCTCTTTAAGAACCTCCTACTCTTTCCAACACACTGCCTTCAGTACGTCACTGGAACAATTCTTCTCCGTGACACCATTTACAACCCTTCTTAGGAGAATTGAACTGAGACGTAATTTGTATGATGCGCAGGTCCACCAAGTTTTGTTTAATTGCTGCCGTCGCTGGTGTAGGAGGATTACGGTGGACGGGTTCACTGTGGGGCTGGGCTGGAGGCTGAAGGTCCTAGGAAGAACGTTGGGTATATTAATACCAACCATTAAAAGTATATATTTTATTCCACATTTATCTTTAATACTTGGTTAGGTTTATTAGTTTAAGAATTGGTAATGATGTGGAAAAGACTGTAGGCCATTTGGACTAAAATAAAATAAAAAAAATTACATCTGTGGCACAATTAACAGTTTGTAAATCGGTGTTTACGATTGCAAAGTTGTTAGTTTCAACTAAAGGAAGCTTAGCAGAAAGTTAAACAATTTTTTTTATTATTGGAGACAGGTTGTCAAAATTAGTTTTGAATTAAAAAATAAAAATACGTACAAGAATACCTTCTGTCAGGGCGAAACTGTAAGCGCATCAAACACTGTTTATCCAGAGTTTACATGTGACTGTGCACACTGCCAAAATATTTTTAAAAGCCCATCAACCGTATACAAACAGTTGACTGACAGATATGTGATTATTATATCACTCCTTATGGACATATTTACTGTCAATAATGAGTTCAAACAGCAGATGCAGAGGCAGATTAAAATGTGGACGAATTAGATGAAAGGACTGGGGGAAGAAGAAAAAAAAAAGCCCACCACATATCTACACAGAAAACGAGTTCGGGGACACTGGGCCTGCATCTTTATGCACCAATCTGCACCAATCTTCGGCAGCACATCAAGGCTAATTTTAATCATTAACGTTTACTTAAAAAAAAAAAAAAAAGATAATTGGTGTGTTGGACCTCTGTATTTTCAGCCTGAGGGAGAGCATACAGTAGGCCACATTGGCTGCGAAAATGAACTTGCCTGCCTACAAGATGATTCAGTGTTGGTAAACTACGTTTGGGAGAATGTGCTCAAAATGTTTCTCACTGCCAACAGACACTCGCTTTAAAATCAAGATAAAGTGCAGACTCATGGTACCCAGACTCATGGTAGCGTGTTCAGCACATTAAAGCAATAAAAACAAACATTTTGGAGGTTACAACATATGTCCTGAGCTGGCAGACATAAAGGTGTGGCAAGGATTTAATGAGGTTTCACTGAAACCAGGAAGATGGAGCAAATCGCATCAGAACTAAAGTCCCTAAACCGGCTCCCTGTAGCTCGGAGAATAGACTTTAAAATACTGTTGTTGGTTTATAAATCACCAAATGGTTGTAGCACCACAATACATTAAAGATCTGCTGCTGCTGCTGTTCTATCAACTCTCCAGATCACTCAGGTCTTCTGGTTCTCCTCTGAATCCCCGGAACCAGAACCAAACATGGAGAAGCAGCATTCAGCTTCTATGAATTACAAAAACTTGCAGAAAACTGCAAAACAGCTGAAACACTGAGTTAATTTATGTCAAGACTGAAAACACCCCTGATTAGAGCCGCTTTTGATTCATAACTGGAACATTGATTAATATATTTGATATGTATTTGTGCTTTATGATGTTGGCTTTTAATGAAAATGTAGTGTTTATTGCAGTTTGATAATTGGTTACTGCATTATGTTTTCATAATGATGTAAACAAGACTTGAATTTTTTTTGAGTATTTCCAAAATATTATGTAAACATAAATATAGTGGATATCAATAATACTTACATTCATTTTCTAGTCACAAAAAAAAATCTATTTTTTGATTTATAACATGACCTGTCCTCAATGAAACATTGTCATGTTAGTATAAATTAATATCTAAGCACCCGTTTAGCAGAAATCACTGTTTAGTGCACTTTTGTGTGATTCAGGAATTGACATTATATATATATATATATATATATATATATAATAATAGTAGTTGCTCTCATTTTTCTCCTTGAATAAATTTACCTTAGAGGCCAGATAGAGGCATCACATCTCAGTGAATTCTTCTCAGCGGTTCTGAGCGGAGCGAGAATAATTAACACAGAACACGTTCTCTACTCTAACACACATTACAACACACATGTGCACCTGAATGGTACTTCACTCCCACGCAAAATTCACTCTCTGGTTACACCACCTACACACAGCAGTGATACTGTATACACACACACACACACACACACACACACACACACACACACACACAGAAAGCCTCCCCCTCGCTCAAACGACATGAGATTGAAAACAGAACGTGCAGGTGGAGGGATGCGAGTACATCTAGGACTGGTGTGAGCTGTTCGCACAGATTGCTTCAAGGCGACTGCTCTTTTTGGGCTACTGCTACTGCCAAGTCCTTAACAAAGCACACAGTTACACACACACACACATACGCACAATGATGGGACTAAAACTGTGCTACGCGTTCTCCATGGTACGATTCGGAGGCCAAAACAAACAGCACATCTGAACAAAAATAGCGCCGGGACCGAAATGTGATCGTATTTTCTGTAACCAGAATAATTAGTAATCGCTTTATCTAATATTTACCAAAAAATAAAAAATAAAATCCAACTGTCTGACCCCATGCGTTTAAAAAAATGGATGATGGGATGAGTCTAATTGTGTGAATGA